TTAACTTAAGCACGTGGTTACACATATATTTCACAAAACTGTGTTTCTTAACTTAAACACGTGGTTACACATGTGTAACAAAGCTGTATTAATTCATTCAGGCAGCGTTTACGTATATTTAATACAACTGTATTTTTTATGTAACCACGTGTTTAAATTATCTATAATAGTTAGCTAATATAATGACAGTGATATCAAACAAACCCACATTTATAATCAGTTAATAAACTCAAAGTGGCACTGTTGTTTTACTCCCAAACGTTAGATAACTTATGCGTTAAAAAATCATTTTACAATCACAATTTTTAATACAAGAGTCTGAAAAGCATTCTTAAACCGCGTCTTCCTATTGGCCTCTTGCCTCCCCCCCCCCCCTCATGGCTCAGCAGTAAGTCTGCTTGTTGACGATTTTGATATACGCGGTGAGTAGCATGCAGATAACCCATAGTGTAGCTTTGCGCTTAGCAACAACCATATCAACGTTACCTTGTAGCGCCCTCTGTATAACTGTTTTCTGATTGATAGCGGCGTGGTATTTAGTGGGCTATAAATGTATAAAGATGTTTATGTGTAGATTTTTCAATTGAGAACCCCAGTTTAACAAGAGGGAATCCTCAATAGCCGCAGAACTTGAAGTTCTTTTAGGCAAGATTAGAGTAAGTTAATCTACGAGACCTTTTTTTTTTTATTAGCTACATTTTTGTGCGCCGGTAATACCAAGCGTGAGGCGCACGTATATCCGATTCAATTTTATTACTCATCAGGATCTCTACCAGCCTACCCTCAAATTGACATTATTTTAGGCAGGATTAGAGTAAACTAATTTATGAAAACTTGGGCGTGGTTGAATATATCAACCGAAAGGGTTTGACCTCCGGATTCCGAAACTGAAGTTAAATCTCAAATCGGTCAAGAGATGACGGAGCTATGACCTAAAAGTTTCTACCTGAAAAAGTCGGAGCCTTTCTACGAGCCGATATGTCGCGGCTAAAAATCTAAACGACTTTATTTTCATAACGTCGTTTAGATTTTTAAACTCAGGTTCTCTCTTTATATAAATGAGATCCTTTATCAAGATCAGCCTGACCTCTTGATAATATACACACATTTTTACACATCTTCGCTAAATCAGTTTTTGTGTGAAACAAAATAATCGGTATGCCTCAACTTTTAGCTGTGGAAATCTATGAAGATTCACATAGGTGAAACAGTATATTCATAACCTTCTTCGATTTGAAGCCATATTTCCATTGTATTTTTCCTGGTGTTAAATGACTTAAGAACTTGTTAATTTTCATTAATACTGTTAAATTTTTTTTTAGTTTGTTTGTTTTAACGAACTTATTAAAAAAAAGAAACTTTAGAATTGGTAGATTTCTCTATTGCGGGTTCGAATTCCGTCATGCTCACACTTTCAACCGTGAGAGCGTTTTAATGTCACGGTCAATTCAACTTTTTATTGGTAAAAAAAAGAAACCCAAAAGTTAGCGGTGATGACAAGCTGCCTTCCCTCTAGTCTTTCACTGCTAAATTAGGGACAACTAGCGCAGGCAGCACACAAGTAACTTTGCGCAAACTTCAACAAAACAAACAAAAAGTACATTTCTCTCACGTGCACTATTCATATTTTAAGTATCACTGGTACAGCAGGTCTCTCCCTTTTGGGGTATTAAAGGTAGAATGTAATACCAAGCATTCTCTATATTAAATGAAGAAAAATAACCAATTCGTTCGCATTAAAAACAGCTTCTCATCTGTTCTGTTTTTTTAGGACAAGCTTGGCTGAGAATGTCCTACCTCCTATATTGTTCCTATACTGACTGTAAGTCTCCTTGATCCTTCGGTAACGAAATGCCAACTTTCTCATCCAATCCACTCCACCTCTGACCCCTGTGGCCAGACATAAACTGGCATTCGTTGCTGCAGCATGAAAACCATCAGCTTGGAAGTTATAGTTGCTGAAGAAAAAAAATATTTCAATCATGTACAGCTCTATTAACGTTGAGCTTGGAAATTACAGTATTCTAATATCTTTTTACCTCTCGTATTTTCTTTTTATAAGTAAACAAACTAATAAATCTTGAAAATAGCTGTAATAACCGTAATTTTCAATTATATATTAAATATAATAATGTGGATACAATGCCTTCCGTACCTAAGATCCTGACCGTTATCCTCTGACGACACATCATCTATGTGGACCTGATCACATTCCTAGAGAAAATACAAAACTAAATTAGTAAAGGTATAAAATAAATATCTATACTAGATGTACTTGCGAAGTATCCCCGAAAGTGTTCTGTTTCAAGAGTAGATAAAACCAAAATTAAGAGTGCTATATATTTTTATTTCTTCCTTTTGAAGTTCATATGTCATGCTGTTTGTTGCCTAGAGAGTGCATAATTCTTCTCGTGATTCATGGCAAGCGCACGTTTGACTGACGTCACGACGGGACAAATTGCAAAGTTAAGCGTCGCTTATATGACGTCATTTTAGTGTATTGACTAACTGACTGACAGACAACGCACCACTGTATAATGGTGCGAGTGGTTAAAACAGGTGCTATGCCTACGTGGATATGTATGTATGTATATAAACCTAGGTATTAATCATTCAGCTTTCATCATATCCCTATATACAACAATTCATAATATATCCAACTACATCTGTTTGCGAGAAAATCTGCACATCAGCAGAGTATCTTCACTACTTTCAAATTACTCAAGCCTGGTTTCACAGAGTGTTTAACTAGGATTATGTGTACAAAGGAAAATAGGATTCATGGTTCGAGACCTGATACTGCCAAAAACTATCCTAACTTTCAGATATAAACGCGTAATAAAGGTCGCAATCAATCCTACTATTCGGTTCAAAGAGCTGAGAAAAACCAATGTGGCGGCGGGTGCTGCCATCCCTTTAATCAGTAACTTAAAACTATGGACGAATATAAGTGAACCCTAGAAGTCGCTGTCCTCACCATTTAACCCGCGTAATTCCCATTCCTCCCATTTACTTGGATTTCTAGTTTTAAAATAATGAAATTAAGAACGCTTGAATTAAACGAGAAAGTAAAATGACCAAGTCTCTATCTCACATGCCTCACCTAGGTACGAAACTACTTCTGTACAAACTTAATACAGTACAAATTATCATAATAAATTAAATCACTCTTAGGGAACAGAAAACTTGTTTGATGTATTACTACAGGAAGCGACATCTGGTGGTATGTTCAAAGACGTAATACATTTCATTGTGATACTCTTATTTTAACATCTGTCCATTTCGTTACGTATTGTATAATGTCTGTATATTTTACGTACGTTATTTCCCTCGGGAATTTTGTGGTATACTGTAAGTAGTTCATAAATACGAATGTAAATAAAATTACAGTTGTTGTCCAGTAACAGTTTATGTTATAAAATTAGGACTAGGTTCTGGCCTTCATCCTCTGACGTCACATGTGGATCCGTATATATTATTCGGTAGTTTATTTAGCAACATCTTTAATTTGGTGGAGACCCAGATTAACACATTGATAAAGACTACGTTGTTAGCTTTACCCAACTAAAACTAATTTCCTTTACAGGTTCTAGTATGCACAGCAGAATCTAAGGGTAGATTTGAAAAAAAGAAATCACACAGCAAAAGAAGTGTTCACTTTGCGACCATCTGTCAAATTAGAAAAGTTCCAGAACATTTTCTAAGTTCTAAATGTGAAAAGCGTTAAAGAAAGTTTGTTTTGTTTTTTGAATTTCGCGCAAAGCTACACGAGGGCTATCTGCACTAGCCGTCCCTAATTTAGCAGTGTGAGACTAGAGG